TCTTTCATCATCATCAATACCATGTAGACATGTGATCCTCATTGGCTGAGAAAGTCACTTATTCCCCACTGCTTTTTGCAGTGTCTTCACATGTTTCCTCCACAGACAGATAAGACTTGTCAGGAGCTATTGAAAAACTGTCCATGACTTGGACATCTTTGCCCATCAGATGAGAGAGATCTTTAAATGTCAGCTTCTTGAAGGCAAGGACTAGTGTGTTCTTTTCTCAATAGAGGCCCAAGCACATGGTATTCTTAGTAAGTCACAGGTGGCTAATTCCAAGGATAAATGGATTGACGGGTGCTCACAGGTCCTGCAATCTCACCTTCTCTTCCTCCCTCCTCCTCCTCTTCCTGATGACACTCCTCAGTTTAACAGGCGTCATCACTGTCGCCGCTGTGGTCGGCTAGTGTGCAGTTCCTGCTCCACTAAGAAAACGGTGGTGGAAGGCTGCAGAGAGAACCCTACTCGCGTGTGTGACCAGTGCTATAGTTACCTCAACAAAGAGTGAGTGTCCTGCAGCGGGGCCGCTGCTGCTATTGACCACTGCACCCTCCCCCGGGTCCTGACACTCCTAGGGGTCTCGTTATGGAAAGCGTCTCAAATCTGAGCAATTACAAAAAGTTTTCATTTCACATTCACACTGAAATGGCATTAACTCTACAGTGTAATGTTTGACCCTGGTCAGAGAGACTTCTAAGAGAGGAAGTAGGGATGAGTAGAAGCAGAGATCAGAGCTCTTACATGATGTTCTCTCTGGGATCAGGACACTTAGTTCTTCGGCCTGTCCTCTAACTGAGGCCATGGGCCTGTCCCCTAACTGAGGCCGTGGATCTTAGTTTGCCAACAACCTCACCTCTTTTCCAGCCACTCTCGCTTCAGTTGGTCTCAGCTGGACTCCAAAAGAGTTCAGCTACTGAATGTTGGGGGCTCACTTGCATCAGCTCTCACTGAGCTCATCATTCTGGCTTGTTATCCACAACTAGAAGAGCCCACACACTTTCCTGTGCACAGTTCAGCTGGGAACAAGCCTCAGAAACTGCTCACGCCTCTGGCAAGACAGGTCAAGACTGTGTTTGCCAGCCCAGTATCGCTCAATTTTTTCTACTTCTTCTAGCAGCAGAGGAGGGTGAAACTAAGACTCCCAGAGCATGTGGGTGTATGAGCCAAAGCAGCTATTATCCAAGAGCAAAATTACTTTGAGTTCTTCATGTTTTACTAACAGACTTAAAGGGATTTTACATTCTGCCCAGTAACTCAACAGCATTTTTGTGTTCCTTTTACTATGAACATTTTTTTTAACATTATTTACCATGGTGATTACTGACCTGATAAGAAGGAAGACGTGCCGTGTTCATACCACAGTTTCTGTGACCCTGGCATACCACTGCCTCCCTCTGGGTGGGGGACAGGGAAATTACCCATTTATCATACTGCTGAGATTTGAAATGGGCAGTTGGTATCAGTGAGGATTCTTTCATTCAGCAATCACTGAGCAATAATCACTTTGCCCTCGAGGGGCCCCCATTTTAGTGGGGAGACAGCCAAAACACAGACCACAGAGCCCTTGGGTAAGTGCAGTGTGGAGACACACCCAGCTTAGCCCAGTCATCAGGAGGGTTTTCTAGAGGTGTGGCACTTGGTCTGAGACTTAGAGGATGAGAAGTTGGTAGGAAAAGAAGCCGAAACAGAGCATGCCCAAAAGTGGGAGTAACAACTGCAAAGGTAGGGGCAGGAGAAAATGTGGGTCCTTTGAGGAAGTGTAAATAGGTAGGTGATGGGCTAAGGTTCTGGGCTCAGAGGCTGGCAGCTGAGCTGGGAGGACCTAGGGAATGGCACAAAGTCTTGGAGCTTGCTCTTTGACAGCATGGGCTGGGGTTGACCAGAAGGCTCCTCATGCAGATGATAGACTTGGGCTCTGGCTTGTGACATTGGGATTTAGTGGCTGGTGGCACCAACTGAACTTGATCAGAGCCCGTAGCAGTGTGGGGAGGACTCTTATGGGTTGAGCAGAGGTCATGGGTGGTAGGAGATGGTCTCAAGAGGCAGGGAAGCCATAAGGAGCTTTGTCTGCTAAACTGCAAATGTGGAATATTTTACCCTGAGGAGCTATCAAAGAATTTGATAAAAGAATTTTAAGCAGAAGCATAATATGACCAGATTTGCTTTTTTTTTTTTTTTTTTTTTGCGGTACGCGGGCCTCTCACTGTTGTGGCCTCCCCGGTTGCAGAGCACGGGCTCCGGACGCGTGGGCTCAGCGGCTATGGCTCACGGGCCCAGCCACTCCGAGGCTGGGATCTTCCTGGACCGGGGCACGAACCCGTGTCCCCTGCATCGGCAGGCAGACTCTCAACCACTGCACCACCAGGGAAGCCCCAGATTTGCATTTTTGAAAGCTTGCTCTACCTACCAAGTAGAGAATAGCTTTGGTAGAATCAAGGAGACCAATTGGGAAGCTATTGCAAAGGCTCTAGCATTAAATGATGAGGGCCCTCTCTGAGGCAGGGATGAGGAGAGAGATGGGGACATTTAAACAGGTATTTTAAATGGAACGGGCAAGAAATGGTAAGTGGTTGGCTGTGACAGGTGAGGGAGAGAAAAGAGTTTTGGATGATTCCCTGATAATCTCATTCGAGTAACAGTAAATGTCAGTAAATGTGCTATACACTAAGCTCAAAACTAAGAGCAGGAGGAGGGATTCAAGCATTTCACTTTTTCTTTTTCTGTTTCCAGTGCGCCAGCGGAGAATCCAGGACAACCAGGAGGTAAGGCTGAATCACATTCCCTGTGACTTTTTTTTTTTTTTCTTGGCCACACGACCCAGCTTGTGGGATCTTAGTTCCCCAACCAGGGATTGAACCCATGCCCTTGGCAGTGAAAGCGTGGAGTCCTAACCACTGGACCACCAGGGAATTCCCTCCCTGTGACTTTTTGTCTCTGTGCTCAAGTTGGCTCGTCCTTCAGCATATCTGCTGCAACTCAGTCCAACAGGTTGACCAAAGAAAATTCTTAGCATTTCTGTCAGGCTGTTTCCCTTAAGGTTTGTCATCATAGTAACCTATCACACTGGCCCATTAGCTTCCAGCATCGAGAAGCCAGCAGCCAAAGAATTTGGTCCTTAACTTTTGGTAGCTTATTTCTCTTTCTTCCCCCACTAGGTTTCCCTTCACCACCATCCTGCCTTCTAATGCTCCCTCCTTCCCCTTGGTAATCACTATTAATAGTTTGGGCAGGTTAGTTTTTAGAGTAGGCAATGGCTCATCCCTCCATTTGGGAAGCATGCAGCATTCAGAGTTTCTCGTGTGAAGCAACAAGTTTGTGTGACAAACATTGTAACACTCATTCCAGGTCTGTGCCTGGGGAAGAAAGTTTGAGGTACCCAAGGTGGTCTCCTAAAGGAAATAAAAGGGACAAAAAGGAGAGAAAGGGCCCTAAGATATCAGGCAAGGATCTGCCTGCAGCTTGTGGCTCCCTGGGCTGGGCTAGACTGGACTACCGGCCAGTGAATGACACATGAATGGCATTTGTCTTCTCAGCACCAGACAGCCACAAGAGCGAAAGCCCTCCATACTCAGCTGTGGTGGGAGTCCCCAAAGCAGCTGAGGTGGAATGGATTTTGGATCTGAATGAGGAGGAAAACGAGCTGGTGCGGAGTGAATTTTACTATGAGCAGGTAATAGCAATAAAATGTGACGGTCATTTGAGTTTCCTTATGATGTGTAGTAGCATGGCAGGAAATGCAGAGTTGGGCAAACACAAGCAGGCCTTCACTTGCTCACAGTGTAATATCATGGGAGCTAAGACAAGTAAACCAGTTAAAGCAGAAAATGAGGAACAGCTTGAGAAATACACAAGAGGAAATCCGGAAAGGCTTCGTGGAAGAGGTAGCATTTAAGAGGAGCCTTGGAAGGGCGGTAGGAGTTTGACAAGCAGAAGTTTGGGTGTCCTGAGTGGAGTGAGGATAGGAGAAGGGCAGAGAGTTCCAAACTCTAACATCCAAGCGAAGGCACAGTATCAGAAATGATTGGGGAATTAGAAGTGGTTTAATTTGGAGAGAACATAGGGTGTTAATAGAGAGGTAGGAAAGGTAGGGTTGAAACAGGCTATTTATGTGTAGGGCCTTGTACTCTGCAGTAAGATATACGTACTTGGTAGGCATCAGGGCCATGGAAGGTTTCAGAGTGTGCTTTAGGAATATTAATTTAGCAGCACTGCTTCCAGTGGCTTGAAACAAAGACTTCTCCAGGTAGCCAGACAAGCAAGGTGACTATCGTCCAAGCCAGCATTAGGAGCACCTGCACTGGTGGGACAGTAGACTAAAAAAGAAGGGCACCTACAGACATTCCCAGGAAGTAGGTGACACGTGGACACAGCTGCCTTCCTCCCAGTAAGGAGACAAAAACCTAGCAGCCAGAGCTTTGCCAGTGCTACTTAGAACTTCTGAAGTATGTTTAGCTCTGCTTCTGCTTTGCCGTGGGATTTTTGGCTCCTTCCCCCAGCGTTTTTCAAGCTTTGTGACACGGGAAGAATAATTCCTCCCTCCCAGCTACATTTGAAGACTGCTTTGGTCTGGGAACTCACAGTGTGCTTCTCTCCTCGTCCACCTGGGCCAGGCCCCCAGCGCCTCCTTGTGTATCGCCATCCTGAATCTGCACCAGGACAGCGTTGCCTGCGGCCACCAGCTGATTGAGCACTGCTGCAGGCTGTCCCAGGGGCTCACCAACCCGGAGGTAGATGCGGGGCTTCTCACAGACATCATGAAGCAGCTGCTCTTCAGCGCCAAGATGATGTTTGTCAAGGCGGGCCGGAGCCAGGATCTGGCTCTTTGTGACAGGTAAGTGGAAATGAGTCTCTCTTCTATTACACGGTGGTCATGTCTGTCCAGCTTCTTTTTCTGACCCTACTGTGGGTTTTCACCTCCCAATCCTCTGACAAGACATGCTGAACTGTTTTGCATTTCCATTTGACGTTGATGAAATGCTGTTACCAGATCACAAGCAGTCTTCCTCACCCTATGTTGACAGCCTGTGTGCTTCTCTTTCC